CCCCCCCCCCCCCCGGCCCCCCCTTCCCCCCGGGGGTGGCTGTCCTGCCCCTGTAGGGCGGCCCACCCACGGCTGCCACTGCTGCCTCGCCGCCTGGCCCGCCACCTGGCACAGCCGACTCGGTCTGGAGACCCTGGTGAGGGTGGCAGGCACCGGACTGGACTTGAGCACTACACCCCGTGCTGCTGGCACGGCTGTACATAGGTTATATGTTCATATTGGATTGTGCCTTTGTACCATAGCACTCCCTTGACAGTGTTTCGTGTTTTACACGAGATCTTTTTTGTCCCTTCCCTCCCCTTCCTTATGTGACACCAAAGATCGGGGTTTTTTTTTTTTTTTCTTTGAATGCTCTTAAAATAAAAGTGTCCCTTCCATTTTGGAAGGCCTTTGGAGATAAGTTGGACTGCTGGTGTGTGTGCATAGGAAGGAGCGCAGCTCCTGGCTTGCTCCTGGCTGCCTGTGGATGCTGCTGCTCCAGGGCTGCCCTGTCCTGCTCTCCAGGCTGGAGCTGTCACTCAGACCCTCTGTCCCCTCTTCCCTGCCCCGGGGCAGATGTAATTACTGCTTCCTTGGGAGCAGCTCAACTGATCAGACTTGTTAAAAAGAGCTTATGTTTGCAGAGCTGGTGAATGCGCTGAGGGAGGCACCTCTGCTCTGTTCCTGGCTCCTCGGGCTGATGGAGTGGAGTAGCCCAGGTAAAGCGAGATGGATTCGGCACAGAGCCTGACAGCCCAGCTCCCAGTCTAGGCTGCCTGGGTGAGCCTCCTGCCCTGGGCCCGGAGGGGCCTGCTCCCGGGCCGTGGTGTAAATCGCAAATGACTTCAGGCAGTTGATTTAGAGAGCAGTGCCTGCCAGCTTCTCGTGTTACAAAAACACCGGCTCTCCGCAGGACAAGCCTGACACGAGTGCTCCTGTCTCCTGGCTGACAGGCTGCAGCAGGCGCTGGGCATCACCTCCACCTGGACTTAAAAGCACAGAGCTGTTCCCAGCCCTGAGCACCAGCCAGGCTCTGCTTGATGATTAATGCTCTGCATGTGTTTTTGATAGAGTTGGGCATTTCCTCTGCTATTATATGGAAAACATGTGTCTGGGGGAGTGATGTGGGGCTGTGTGGACTATCTCTGTAACTGTGAGTGGTAACTGACCCCTTTGACTTGGGGATGCCCCATTTCCAGGCAAGATGCAAGCCCTAGATAGAGGTGAGCAGCAGTCTCGGGTTACAGCTTGCATTGCCCTTCTTAACAAGTCCTAACTCGGAGCGGACAGCTTTAAAATGTGCCAGGATCCACTGGGGATTTCTTCCAAATCCTCCTGCAAAAGCTTGTTGGATTTTGGCTGGATCAGCCAGGTGCTTGACTGTATCCAGGTGCTGGGGAAATGAAAGCCGGGGAGAGTGTGAGACCAGACAGATTAAACCTGCTGGGGTTTGAATCCCTCCCTGGCTTATCCCCCCTTCTCCCTGTATACAAACACGTCTTCCTGATCTGAAAATACTTCTTGGGATGGATTTTGGAGGGGGGTGGGAGTGTCTGGGATCTCTCTGCAGGGTGTGCTGATGAGGTTGGGGCCAGTGGCACCTCTCTTTTAAAAGGGGCTGCAGGGGCTGATCCTTCTCTGCCTCCCAACACCTTGCTGCCCTGCCTGCATTGCCACCCTCACGGTGGCATCTTGCAGCCAGGTTTTGTGTGCCAGGCTTGGGAATATTGGATTTGCTGTCCCTAGGCAGGTGTGTAGCCGTACAGGCGCTGAGCCTGCCTTCCCTTCCACCAGCCGTAGTGTGACCTTTCTGTGCTGGAGGTACCGAGGGCAGGACTGAGCCCACCTTGTGTTCAGAGAAGCACTCGCAGGACCTGTCTGTCTGGGAATCGCATCAGACCAACTCCTGCTGCTGGTTGGCCTGCGTGGAGCTGATGCAGACCGGTAACGCATCACCTGTAAGAGCTGAGGCTGTTCCAGCTTAGCAGAGTCTTCCTTTTCTGCTGAAGCAGTTGGTTTGGAAAGCGCATTAGAAAAAAAGACTTTGCTGTAGGCTAATGGAGAACACGTAGCAGATCCAGGAGTGAAAGACAAGACGAACCTATTTGCTAATGGAGTTTAAATAGCCTAGTATAAAGCAGATATGCCATGCTTGGACCGGTTTCTCCAAAGCTTTCTGTGTTTACTCTATCCCACAGCCTGTTGACATGAGAGATCTGCTTGAGTTTGTGAGCTTTGAAGGGATCAGAGCAATTCCCAGGAGCCGCGCTCTTGATGCCAATTCACTGAGCCCGTGACAAATTGGGATGACAAATGCAGGCTGTGGGTCCATGGATCATTATGTGCAGAAGTTGCCCTTCAGGTGCAGCAAGTGCCTTCAAACTGGTGGTGTGGGATAAGCAGGGAAGGGTAAGAGAGGGAGGGGGAGTGCCAGGGAAGGGACAGGGCTGAGCTGCTGGATGGTGGCCTCTCGTTTGGCAGTGACCCTGCACGGGGCTGTGCAGGAGAGGTAGGAAAAGGGACTGGACTCAGTGCTGCCGGACAGGATGGAGCTCCTGTTGGCTTCTCTGGACACCCTGCTGAGCCCTGCCCGCCAGCAGAGAGGACCCTGGGGAGGGCTGGAGCCAGGTCTGTCCCCCCCAGATTACCGCTTTTGGGTTTGTAAGCAGTTTGCCACAACCCGGTGCATGCATTTGCAGCCTGGAGAGCGCTGAGCTAGAGGGAGCAGCGTTCTACCCCTGCCTGCAGCGCACCTGCACGGGGGTCTGCAGGCAGGGGGCTTCGCCTGCCTCCCCCAGCACTCTGCCATGCTCCCCACCCAGCACGGGGCTTACATCCCTGGCTGCCCCTCGTATCCCTGCAGCTCCCTTCCCTGGGCCGCTGCTGCCGTCCCGGGAAACCTGTCATTAAAGTCAATTAACTTTTCCCACACTCCTCGCAAGCGGTGCAAAAACCCCTCCTCGCTTCCTCCTTGGCTCTTAAGTGCTACCATATGGCACGGGCCCCCGCGCCCGCCCTGCCTTTGATTCCAGCCAGACAGCCGGAGCTTTATGATTTAAGCCGGGAGAGCCCTCGTACCAAGCCCTGGGCCGCTCTGCGGCCAAGGTGGTTTTTTTAGCAGGCAAGGCTGTTTTCTGGCAGGAAATGAATAGCTCCCAGATGAGCTCAGGAACCTGAGAGGTCGTGAGAAAGGAGCGAACCCCCGGCGCGGTGGCGGGCTGCCAGGCAGCGCGGGGAGCGCGGGAGGGAGCGCGCCGCC